CTCCCTCTTCCCTCTCTCTTCCTTCTCTCTCCTTCTTCCTCCCCTCTCCTCTCTCATCTCTCTTCCCTGGCCTATTTCCTCCCTTCTTCCTCTTTTGTGCCTCTGACTCTCCCCTTTTTTTTTGTTTTTCTCTTCCTTCTTTTCTTTCCTCTCCGTCTCCTCCTCTCCCTCTCCTGTCTTCTGTTCTCTCTCTCTCTCTCTCTCTCCTCTACTGCTCTCTCTCTCCATCATCCTCTCTCTCTCTCTCTCTCTTCTCCTCTCTCTCTCCTCTCTCTCTCTCTCTCTCTCTCTCTCCTCTCTCTCTCTCTCTCACTCTCTCTCTCTCTCCTCTCTTCTCTCTCTCTCTCCTCTCTCTCTCTCTCTCTCTCTCTCTCTCTCTCTCTCTCTCTCCCTCTCTCTTTTCTCTCTCCTCCTCTCCTCTCTCTCTCTCTCTCCTCTTCTTCTCTCTCTCTCTCCTCTCTCCTCTTCTTTCTCTCTCTCTCTCTCTCTCTCTCCTCTCTCTCTCTCTCTCTCTCTCTCTCTCTCTCTCTCTCTCTCTCTCGTCTCTCTTCTCTCTCTTCTCTCTCTCTCTCCTCTCTCTCCTCTCTCTCTCTCTCCTCTCTCTCGTCTCCTCCTCTTCTCTCTCGTCTCTTCTCTCTCTCTCTCTCTGCTCTCTACCTTCTCTTCTCTTCTTCTCTCTCTTCTCTCTCTCTCTACTCTCTCTCTCTCTCTACTCTCTCTCTCTCTCTCACTCTCTCTCTCTCTCTCTCTCTCTCTCTCTCTCTCTCTCTCTCTCTCTCTCTCTCTCTCTCTCTCTCTCTCTCTCTCTCTCTCTCTTCTCTCTCTCTCTACTCTCTCTCTCTCTCTACCTCTCTCTCTCTCTACCTCTCTCTCTCTCTCTCTCTCTCTCTCTACCTCTCTCTCTCTCTACCTCTCTCTCTCTCAACCTCTCTCTCTCTCTCTCTCTCCTACCTTCTCTCTCGTACCCCCTCTCTCTCTCTCTCTACCTCTCCTCTCTCTCTCTCTCTCTCTACTCTTTCACTCTCTCGTCTCTCTCTTCTTTCACTCTCTTCTCTCTCTTCTTTCCACTCTCTCTCTCTCTTTCTTTCACTCTCTCTCCTCTTTCTTTCTCTCTCTCTCTTTTTCTCTCTTCTCTCTCTTTCTCTCTCTTTCTCTCTCTCTCCTTTTTCTCTCTCTCCTTTTTTCTCTCTCTCCTCTTCCTCTCCTCTCTTCTCTGCCTCTTTCCCCTTCTCCCTCTCTCTCTTTCCCCTTCTCCCTCTCTCTCTTTTCACTTCTCCCTCTCTCCCTTCCTCCCTTCCTCCCTCCCTCCCCGTCCCTCTCCCCCCCTCTGCCTTCCTCTCCATCTCTCTCTACCATGCCCGCTTACCATAGAAAAAAGTTTCCTCGAAGCATCCAACAACATCAAATTGCTCGCCGCAGGAGAGACCATGAGAGCCGCGCCACTTCCACCATTCCTTCCCAAACGAGACTGACCCGCGTGAAGACTAGCCAGGCGCCGGGACTTGTCATGCTAGGAGGGCAGCTAGGAGGCACCGCGCGGACGGCCCTCTGCTATTGAAATTAAAGCCGAGTTCCACGGGGGACGAAGCCGGGACGGGGACATTCGGACGAGTAAATTCGATTGTTAGATTATACCCGCGCTCTCTCTGTTTGCGTTGGCGTATCTGTGTTTGTGTTTGTGGACTGTGTGTGAGAGAGAGGGACGCGAGAATGAATTGAGTTTGAGAATAAATGAGTTTAATGAGTGTGAGTGTGTGTGTGTGTGTGTGTGCGTGTGTGTGTGCGTGTGTTGTGTGTGTGGTGTGTGTGTGTGTGTGTGGTGTGTGTGTGTGTGTGTGGTGTGTGTGTTGTGTGTGTGGTAGATGAGAGAGAGAGAGAGTCCGTCCGTCCGTCCCGTCTCTCTGCCTGCCTGCTTACATGCAAAAGGTCTCTCTCTCTCTCTCTCTCTCTCTCTCTCTCTCTCTCTCTATATATATATATATATATATATATATATATATATATATATATATATATATATATATATATATATATATATAGACCTTGCTTACGTGCGTGCATGTATATGCATTTCCTTCCCCCGAGACCTAACGATCCAATACATACTTACATCCATACATCACCCAAAAGCCCCAAAGCGTCCGGCCGAGATTCCGCGTTCCCCCTTGTTCTCTCGGCAAAACAAAGCCCACAAAAGCGACCTCGCGTGGGAAGTTGACCCGCGGAGGCCACGGGACAAGCAATATTATATTATCCTTTGTGGTTATGTTATTATCAGTGTTATGGTTATCGTTGCTGTTATTATTATTATATGTGGTTATGTTATTATCAATATTGTTAAGGTTATCGTTATTAGTTTTGAGGTTATTATTATTTTTGTTGTTATTATTGTTGTTATTAATATCACTTGTTATCAGTACTGTAAGTATTAATATTATTATTATTATTATTATTATTATTATTATTAGTATTATTATTATTATTATTATTATTATCATCATCATCATTATTATTATCGTGATCATTATTATTGCTATCATCATTATTATCATCACCATTATCATTATAAATATTGTTATCACCACTCATTATTATTATCATACCTATTATCATAATTTTTACTTTTTACCTCACGAATTTTATCACATTACTGCTAATATTATGAACGCTTTTTCGTTGTTTTTTCTCAGATATGCCCAAAAATATTCCCATATCCCCCTAATAATATAATAGCCTTTTCATGTTAATTAAGGGCATATACGGTGCTTTAGGAAAGGTATAGTGTCGTTTTACGCTATTAGGGGGAAGATAAATTGATCTACAAGTACCGGGAGAGGAAGACCGTTTCAGATGCCGTTATATGCAAATGGCACAGTAAGAGATAGGGAGAGATAGGTTCAAACAAGGAGAGGAAACCCGTAGAATGTCTTTTTTATGAATATTTTGCGTTGGTCTAAGTTGGATACTGCTTTCGTAGATTTGAAGATACTTATTTTTTTTCTTTCTCTCGTTTTCGGCAAGACTGTGATTCCTCTGTGTTTAGTTTAATTCTTAAATATAATGTTTCTTTTCTAGATCTCATTGCAGTGTTGAATATATATTGATACATATTGCAACTCATTTTTTGTTGTTTATATCATGGGGTTTACTTCATCTTGTTATTTCAATTGATTTTATCATCTGTAAATTCTTCCCTAGCCATCAACTTTGCATGCTGACATTGAACAATCGTTCCCAATAAGAAGAAATAGTTTACAAAACTAAAAATTATTCATCTATACAAATGCTGGCTCACATTAAACTGATTCCAAATCCGTTCGTAAACAAGCAGATTTACTTAAAACTTTCACGAAGGAAAATGACCTCTAATCTATTCCTATATGTTTCAGGTAAGCTTGTCCATCAGCATCTTACTGTCCCTCACCGTGTTCTTCTTGCTGCTGGCCGAGATCATTCCGCCGACGTCGCTGGTTGTGCCGTTACTAGGGAAATTCGTGCTGTTCACTATGATATTAGACACGTTAAGGTGAGTATTCCTGCTCTAAACACAGCGGGAGGGTGTTTGGGAATGGGAGCGCGTGTTGTTTTGATTGCTTTGGCGGGAGTGTATTGCGTGTTTTTCTTGCTGCTGCTATTCTCTTTTCTTCTCTCTCTCTCTTCGTCTTTCTCTTCTCTCTCTTCTCTTCTTCTCTTCTCTTCTCTTCTCTTCTCTTCTCTTCTTCTCTCTTCTCTCTCTTCTCGCTCTTCTCTTCACTTCTTTCTCTCTCCTCTCTCTCTCTTCTCTCTCTCTCTCTCTCTCTCTCTCTCTCCCTCTCTCCCTCTCTCCCTCTCTCCTCTCTCCCCCTCTCCTCCCCCCTCCCTCCCTCCCTCCCTCCCTCCTCTCCCTTCTCCCTCTCCCTCTCCCTCTCTCTCTCTCTCTCTCTCTCTCTCTCTCTCTCTCTCTCTCTCTCTCTCTCTCTTCTCCTCTCTCCTCTCTCTCTCTCTCTCTCTCTCTCTCTCCCCTCTCCCTTCTCCCCTCTCCCTCTCCCTCTCCCTCTCTCTCCTCTCTCTCTCTCTGTCTCTCGTCTCTCTCTCTCTCTCTCTCTCTCCTCTCTCTCTCTCTTCTCTCTTCTCTCTCTCTCTCTCTCTCTCTCTCTCCCTCCCCCTCTCTCTCCCTCTCTCTCCCTCTCTCTCTCCCTCTCTCTCTCGCCCTCTCTCTCCCCTCTCCCTCTCCTCTCCCTCTCCCTCTCCCTCTCCCTCTCTGTCCGTCTCCCTCTCTCCCCCTCTCCCACTGTCCGTCTCCCTCTCTCCCCCTCTCCCCCTCACCTTCCCCTTGCAATATTCCAAACATAACCCATATTCCCGTTTGCCACTTCGCCCTTCCCTCTCCCCCAGCGCTAATGAACTTTCCTCCTTCCAGTATATGCGTGACCGTGGTGGTGCTGAACGTGCATTTCCGCTCGCCCCAGACGCACACCATGGCCCCTTGGGTGAGGAGGGTCTTCATCCACATTCTTCCGAGACTGTTGGTTATGCGAAGACCTCAGTACCAGATGGATAAGCACCGGTATGCTAAAGGAAGTCCAAGGATATTATTCCTGGGCGGTGATTGGTGCGAGAATGAGCACATGTGTGCGTGTGTGTGTGTTCCAAGGGAGTTGATGGGTTTCTGATGGGAGGGTATTGTGTGTACCGGGAAATGATGGGTTTTGGGTTTAATTGAAGTTTGGAAGGTTGTTCGAAGAGGGAGAGGGGAGGGTGGGTGAGCTCTAGAGAGTAAGAGAAAGCTTTGTATTTGTAAGAATTTTGAGGTGAAATTATTGCTTTCTCATTGGATTTCAGAGTTTTTACAGTCATTTGGGTTTAGGACAGAGAACGGCGCTTGGGAAATTGATACATGACATACAGAGGAATTGTAGAACTTGGAAAGACTTGCAGTTTCATAACTTCCACAAATGGAGAAAGAATGAGTGAACCATCCAAAAGTAACATTTAGAATGATAGTAAATGATGACTGTGTGAGATATGTTGTCTATGAATAAATGCTTACTCATGTTAGGCAATTACAGGTGTATATATTTATTTAATATACATGAGTATGTAAGTCTACAAGGGATTATCATATTGGATGTATTAGTAATATTTATTCAAAATTCAGTGTAACATTTTTCATTTAAGAATTTCCTTCTTCAGAAAAGGTGTTCACATATTTCTTTTTCTTCTTGATGTTGCTTCTGTATCAAGATAGACTATTTCAATAACTGTGAAACCTTTCTGGATCACTTTCAAGAATACTCTTACATATGTTGGCTACTGTGTTGTGTATTGTTCTGTGTCGAATAACAATGCTTTATGTGTTTTTTCTGTTAATATGTTTTTTCTAAAACTTAGATGATATTAAAACGTATAGTAATCTATTCTCAGAAGAAAGTATAAATGAAAAAAATACAGTTGCTACTACAGTAATTGTAGTAGGGTATCTTAAGTGTATTTTCCCCACCCGTGCCCTCTGATGCCCTCGGCCACTGCACACAGCACTCTCAGAAGGTAGTACAGCCCATCACCAAAACCACATGTGCATGTTGGCCTTAGGAAGCAGTTAGCTCAACCTTGATAGAGAGCCACAGGATTACTAGTTGAGAAGCCTTTACACAGGGCTATTTGGATTCACCTTCTTGCTAGGCTATTCATGTCTTCCTAGGAAATCATATTTGATTTAATTTTTACTCTTGCTACTGATTGTAGGTTGTGGTTCTAGTAAGATAAGTGTCAAGTTCCAAAACTGTGAAAGTAGATTTGTGGTGGACTCACTAGTTATCCTGTGTTCTAGTTAGAATCCCTAGCTAGGTTATTTTTAATGACAAAAAAAAAATACAGAGGCCTGATTGTTATATGTTCATTTCCCCCATGAAAAAAGTGATCATATTTAAGTGCAGTATACTAAGATTGTATACCTGAGTTATTACTAGATTAAATTAAGAAAAGAAATTTACCCCATTAACATGAATTTCATTCTATAGGAACCATCATGAAAACGCTCTCTTTAGCATCAAAGAATGTTGTCGGTATGCAAAAATCCCTTCTTATCAGTTTGACAAATTCCTTAATTGGCCTCCTTGTAATGCATGCAGGCATTCAGAGCATTAAATGTGCACCATCTCATGTCTCTAGCACTTCTTTTACTTATCGTGATTGTATTTGTTTTAATTGCATGAAATATTTCATATCAGACCTTTTTTTGGATACTGTGGAAAAGATATGTTTATTGAGTATATACGGGATTGTAGCTTCAGATTATGATTCCCAAAGCTGCAGGTGTGACTAACTCTTATGTAATGAGATAAGTAAATTTTCTCATAAATTAAAACAATGTTAAGTAATGCTCCTACAGATTTTCTTACTCTTTCTGTCAACTGTTCCTCTCAACAAAAGGTTATATGCTTTGTAAGATTTAGCATTTTCTTTATGTGACAGAATGATCACCAAGTGTAGATACAGTTCTTTCCCAAGAGGTTTAAGTATACATACAGCAGAGTTGAGTGAAATGATAGCTAACAATTTTTCTTGCATACATCACTATACCTCTCAGACCATGATAACTCAAATGTTATGATTGTCTTTCAACCTGAGTTCTTGACTGTTTGAATTTATTGATTCACAACTAAATTGAAAGCTCCCAAAATGATTGCTAAACTTATAAACAGTGTTACTCATATCAGACTTCAAATTTATGTCTTTATAGAGGATAATAATTGTTTGCGAAATACTCTTACATTTAATCAGCAGAATTTATGATGTAATTACAGACCTGAAATGTGAAACCATTTACCTTATTACAAATATTATGATGTGTATGAGAGCACTATTATTGTATGCATGTTATTAAAGGGAGAGAGTGAGAGTACATGAGAGGAAAGCGAGTTTCAG